CTGCCCCGTCTTCCCCCTCCCCAGGTGTCCCAAGGATGAGGTGGAGCTGGCTCCCTGCACGCCGCACAGCGACCGCCGGTGTGGACCTCCCACCAGCACCACCTCCGACTCCTCTGGTAAGTGGGGGGATGCTGGAGGAGGGGAGATGGGCTGAGGGATGGAGGTGTGAGCTGCTGCCGAGGAGGCCAGGAGCAGCTCCCCACACACTCTGGTTTATCTGCTTTAGGCACCTTGATCGTGACCAGCGTGGTGGTGGTGGTGGTGGCAGCTGCGGTGCTGCTGGAGCTCTCCTTTTTCGCCTGGAAGTCCCGGTGCTGCCGTTCCCCAGGTGAGCACCGGGTGCGGGGGACCCCCGGAGCGGGGGCTCTGTGTGGGTGTGGGCTGGCTGGGAAGAGCAATCACAGCACAGTTTTCATCTTCCAGGAGACAGGAGAGACCTGAGCGGGAAGTCCTGCAGCGTGGTGGTGAGTTACTGGGATGGCGGTTCCATTTGCAGGGTTGGGGTGAGGTCCCCCCTCTGCTCCCCACTTTCCCTGCAGCTCCTGGGAAGGCTGGAGGAGCAGGGGGATGAGCTTCATCCCTGCAGGGATGTGGTAGAGCTGGGCCAAGCAGAGGAGGGTCTCTGGCAGTGCCCTGCCATGTGTGGGGTGCTTGCAGCCCCCTCCCCAGTGCTGTTATTTCCCCGTCTGAGGTGCCAGCACATCCTGGGACCCTGGGTGAAAGGGGGGGGCTGTGCTGTGCTGGGGACCCTTCAAGCTCAAGATGAGCAAGCAAGCCATGCATTGAACTTGTGGCAGGGCGGATGGCACTACCGGAGATGGCACCCCTGAGGGACCGGGGTGAGCCCTGCCCTGCCCGGGCCACCAGCCCGTCAGCTTCTCTCCCACCGCAGGACTACCTGGTGCGGCAGCTGACGAGGTACCGGAGGGGGGGCCAGGGGACGCAGGACAACAGGCACAACGAGCAGCTCTCCCGGGATCAGCTGCTCCCCAGGGGGCCGGGTTCGGGGACTCACAACACCCCAGGGTCAGAGGTACGTCAGCGTGTCCCTCTGCTCCATCGTGCTCCGCCGAGGTCTGATGCTTTCCTCTGCCTTCAGCAAGCCGAACAGCTTGGGGGGGCTTCCAGGCTTGGACCATGGTTTCTGCGTGGAGATGGCGAGGGGTCTCTTGCCCTTGTTCTGGGTTCAGGACTGCAAAATTTGCTACTTGCTGTCAGCTGCCAGAGTCCTCTGCGGATTTAATGCTGATGCTGAGCAGACAGCTCTGCTCTCCCCTGCTCGTGGCCTGCTCTCATCCGAAAGCTGGGAAACGATGGGTGTCCTGGGGAGGTGGTGGTGACCTGCTGCCCCAACAGCCCCCAGAGAGAGGGAGAGGGTCTCCAACCCCCCCATTAACAGGGCCTGGGGACGGTGTTTGTGCTGGGGCTTGGTGGGTGCTATAGGACACTGTCTTTCCAGGTGATGAGGCCAAGGACCTCGTATCCCAGTGTGAAACCCAGGAGGAATCTGGTTCCAGTGCAAGGAGAAGACCCCATTATGGGTAAGTGTAAGGGCCCAAGGGATGTGCTGGGGAGCGGGAGGGGGGTGAGCCTGCCGGATGAGCTTTCTGGGCAAAACCCTGTCTGACCCAGCTGTCCCTGCTCTACCTGTTCTCTGAACTCTTCCCCTCTAGTTTTGCGGCGCTCTTTTGACATCTTTGCCCGAGATGTGCCCTACAAGGACTGGAAGAGATACGGCCGAGCCCTTGATCTGCTGGAGAACGACATTGCTCTGGCGGAGATGAACGACAGGTATTCGCTGGAGCCCTTCTTCCAGATGCTCAACATGTGGCAGAACAGACAAGGGATGAAGGCGTCTGTGAACATGCTGCTGGAGGCCCTGCACCAGATCAACCTCGGAGGGATTGCAGAGGACATCTCCTCCAAGCTGGTCCAGCAGGGATCTTTCCAATACGAAGTGAGCTGAGGAGCAGGGCAGGCCCTGCATCTCCCTCTTTCAAACTGAAGCTGTGAATACCTCTTAAGAAAACTTGAGTTTTAGCTTTTTGTAGCTCTCCTGTGGCTCTTCTCTTTTTGAAGCCATTGTACAGTTCAGCAGAGCCCGGAGGAGTTGATCCTCTCGTGAAGTGCAAACCTCATGGTCCTCTCTGCCGACGCTACAGGCTCGATGTCGGTGCTTCCTTACGGAATCCAGGCTGGTGCCTTGATTTCACTGGGTCAATGCAAAGAGCCAAAGAACTATTGCAAGCTGCCTCTGGGACTGTCTGGCTTGGAAGCACTGCTGCTGCACAGACGTCTTCAGGATCAGAGTAGGGAAGGACCTTTGCAGGATGTAGGCATCCCTGCGGCTTTTAACTGGATCATCTTTTTATGGGGGGGGGGGGGGGTCCCGGCGGCATCGTGCAATGGCTTCTGCTTGTAGAACATCTCTAAGCTGTCCAGCAAGCTTCGTACTGTATGCTCGGTGGGCAGGCATTAGCTGGGTTCTGGGGTTACTTTCTCAAAGCTGTTGACTGAGATCCGTTTTAGCTGATAGTTGTTCTGCTTGCTGTTGGGAATCAGTTTGAAACTGGACTTTGAGGGGAGGGTGGGAGTCATTTACTCACTCTGTGATTGCTGGGGTTGCTGCAGAAAAGAGTCAGTGCAGGGAGCGAGTGAGCTCCTCCACGGAGCAGGACGGGGAACGTGGGCAGCAAGCTATCAGTGTGCCAGAAACCTCCTTCTCCATGACTGTGGTCAGGGTGGCGAGTCGCCATTCCCTCGGCCATGAGTGGCTTTGCTGTCCCTGGCTGGCTGCAGGCAGCGTGGAGAGGTGAAAGCACTGAGGTCCGAGCGGGGCTGTGGGCACCCACCACCCGTCCTCCAGCTGAACGGGGTGCTTCTCGACCGCTGTGCCCACTGCTCAGGCTCTCACACATAGCTCAGGGACAACTTGGCTGGAAAAACTACTGCATTACTTGAGTTGGCTACACGTGCTGCTGCCCCGGTACGGCCCGGCCCACCAGGACCTTCCCTGGCAGGGAGGGAGAGGGCGAGGGGCATCGCCAGCCCCTCGCTGCAGCCAGGGCTGCCCTGTGCTGTGAAGCGCCTGTCCCTCCCGCTGCCGCCCCTTCTTCCCACTCCTCCCCAAAGCTGAAAAGACATCCGGTCTCACAACCACAAGCAGAAAGTGTATTTATGTATTTATTTAGTAATTGTAAACATGTACATATTTTAACTTAAAAGCTGTTATAAAAATAGTAGTTTTTATACTATGCATGGTTGTGTGTTTTTGTACAGAGCTCTGGCCCAGCCAGTTTGCTGTTTCCTGTTTTTACATGTCTCTTCAGCAAGAGATGAATAAACTTTTTAAAAAAATCCTCCTGATTTCTCATCTTCTTTTTCTTCCCCCCCACCCCACCCCTCGCTCTGCTGGCTTG